CCGTTCCTTCTTCCCCTTCGTCCGGCAGCGTCGATGCGAACCTCGACAAAGACCGAGAGACCACCAAGGGCGGCCACTACCACTACGACCTGGACGAGACCATGGACGAGATCGAGTACGAAGGCTGGTTCAACGTCGCCGAGACCCTATATCGCGTCGACCAGCCTGGTGGTTCCGCCGCTTGATGCTTTTTCTGTTTGGTAGTCTACCTACGACACCGGTCATGTAGCTTTTGTTTTTGGCTTTTTGGTAGTGTACGCGGTTTTTTTTTTTTTTTTTTCGCTTCGGTGATGGGGTTTTTGTTAATGGGGGATATTATACGAGTACCTAGCCTGCTCGGACCGCGACAAGCTTTATGTCTGTACACATATCCTCCTCCCGAGACCTCCACCCCAGAGGGGTGCCTCTGAGTAGAACCCTGAGCTATCCAAGGCCCGCTGCGAACCTGACAAAATATTCGACCGCCCGTAAATGTAATTCGTGTACGAGGTCTACCTGGGTAGATAACTAGCCAGACAGCGAGATACTGAAGGTACCTAGCCGCCGAGCTCGCTTTACTTTCGGGAATTCTCTAGGTACTCGTGGTGGGTGGGTAGGTAATAGTCTCACCACCAACCTCTCCTCCCTCACCTCAAAAACTAAAAACTTTTGGAGGATTGCTATATTGATAAGATCTCAGATGACAGAAAGCAGGCATCATAATAAGCGGCCGAAAAAAAAAAGAGAATATGCCTCGGACGAGAATCGAACTCGTGACCTTCGGATAGCCCCCCGTGTGTTAGCACAGGATCATAAATCATTTATGAGACCGACGTCATAACCAACTTCCGGAAAATTAGCTTGCATCTAAAGACCGTGTAATAGATAGAAAATCATACCTAGACCACCAGGGCGGATTTGGGACAAATTTTGGCCGTGGAAACTATTATTTGACCCAATTTCTGGCCGGTGAGAGCGGAGTTTTCCGCACGTGTTTAGGGCCGGGGCTGGGGAGGGGAGCAGCGTGGCCCGAAAAGGTGCCTCACGGTGCTCGGCAACAATAAGCTACCGAAGTCTCGGCTACCTTACTAGGTTCGAGGGCGAACTACCTGGGGGGAAAGGGTAACTATCACGAATACTATATGATAGTGTATACTTAGGTTAGGTAACCGGTTAGGCTACCGGCTAAACCGCTGGCTTATCGTATGTATATAGGAGGAGGGATCACGCCTGTCAACCTTGAAGTCTTCTTCAAGCGTTGACATCTCTATCTATAGGCTAGTTATTCTATCATTATTGATCCTATAGTACACACATTCACCCTCCAGTTAGGTAACTAGTCTGATATCAAGCTACATCGCGACATCATCTCCGGAGACAATAACGTTAGTAGCGTTGAGATCGGCGTGTATGACATTATTATCATCTACGTAATGTAAACCACGGGCAAGTCTACTAACCCATTTTTCTTGCTGTTCATCTGAGATGTCGCCCTCTCTTAGTATTTCTCGCAGATATAGTCCCGCCTGCAGAACAATTGTTCTGTCTGACATTAAGCAATTCTACCACATTTGGATGCCTACCTAGTCGCCGCAAGACGTTGTATCACCTGACTACCAGGATATCGTGCTGTGACTCAATGGAGGAACATGGTGAATTCTGCTAGGTCCTGGGGACCGTCTGACTATATACCTTCGAGTAATTTACAGGGCCCTACCGGCGCTAGTCCGAAGGCCTTCGGCCGAAGACTAGCGTGACAGTCATTACATATCCTTAGCATCCCTATCAGTTACAGCCTCCCCTACTTAGCTTCGAAGGCCCTCCTTCGACTGCACTCGTGGACAAGGCTGTCGGCCTCACTAGACCAGCAGTCTTCACCTTTGGTAGACAAATGAAATAAGTTAGCCGGGGATCTCCCGTAGAAATCCCGCAACGGCCGATAACAGACGCTTAGATAGCTGTTGGAACTCATTCACTAGCGTTTCAGAACGGCGAGTATATGATCGAGGGGGTGATAGTAAGGTACCTTCATAACTCTATCGGTCGGCGTTTGTCGCCACCGCCCTGGCGCTAGTATATACGCGTCGACGAGGTCTCTAATTCTATAAATATCTCTATCTACCTCTTCCTCTTTCTTCGATCTCTCGCAAACACCATTTCATTACTCTTCTCTTCGATCAAGTGTCCTTCGAAACCTTCCTTCACTTCATTATCTTGTTGACTTTTGGCTTTCGAAATGTTTCGCTAATCGCGTCTGACGGGAGTCAAGTGATCTCATGGTCTTAAAGGGGACGAGGAGCGAACAAATCGTTCAGACTTCTATCACAGCAATATTAACAAGATTCTTCGTCTCGACGCGGCTCGAAAGGGTGGAAAGAACCGTCGTTCGTTTGTCTTGGTTCGTATTCCTCCCGTGTGCTTTCGAGGCGGTACTAACGAAGAGTAGCTAGATGTAGTGTATCGAAATAGAAATGAGGAGTTGACTTAGTCTCACGAATGGAGGGATTTAGTTAAGAAAGCCTTTAGTTCTCAGGGTAGTTTCCTTTCGGTTGGGTAGCGCGGCGAGTTGCGAGCTTTAGCATCGATACTATTATAGCGACCTTTAGAGTACTTCGGTTCTCGAAACTTATCTCAGTAGAAGGGCTTTTCGGCTGCCCTAGTATACACTCATGGCGACGCTAAATCGAAGCTATACGAGACATGCGAAGTAGGCTCTTCCGAGCTTTCACAGAGCGAACCGGTCTTTCCTGAGTGCACTCGCGCTTTCGTAGTGCCAAACGATCCTAATTCTAGTTGGCTTTTGAATAGAGATTGTTCATCATGTCACGCTCGAGGGAAGGGCTATTCTCTACGTCCTATAAATCCGGAACAATAGAGTACGGCTTCGAGCCCTGCGACACCGAATCCTAGCGATAAGCGCGGTGTCGTTTTCCTTTCCCTAGAACCTTCGAATGACTCCATTACTTAGGGTCATTCCAGCACTTAAAGCCTTCGCTTTAAGGGAGGTTCAAACGAACTTCTATACACACCCGTAGATCAATAGCGCAATAAGCGAGCGAAGATCTCAGCGACTCCTATAGGTTTAAAGGTAGTAATCGATATAGATGTCGACGCTTTAATAGACTTACCTCCCAGCTTCACTCAAGAGGAGCTAGATCGCTTTATCGAGATTACTACGGCGAAGATATCGCAGGCCTATCTCAACTACCGTAAGTAGGGAGTCTAGATGTACTACCGCGTTTAGGCACTTAGGGCATCTAAGACTCTACGACCTCTCCCTTCCTCGCCCATTCCTTTTCGACCCGGTCGCGGCGGCGGCGACAGTCGGCTCGATGTACTTCGAGCGTAAGTCGACGAGATAAGAGGAGAGATGGTGAAGTTCGAGGTGTAGTTATCTTAACAGTGAACTGCGCAAGCGCCTCCTCTAGTCTTTATTCTTCCCGGTTACCCTTCGTAGGGTCAATATCAACCGTACCCTTAATAGTAGGGTTAATATTATTAGTACCCTTAATAATAGGGTCTATATCCGGGCTACCCTCAGCAATAGGGTCAGTAACTAGCGGGGTATCATCACTAACGCGAGCCTACGAACGATGATCCTTTCCTTCCTTTCCGCGATCAAAACTAATCGCGCTATGACGTCCGTCCTCCGGTTCAAGAGACTTCGTTCAACATAAGTAAGCTTCGACAAAGTATCTCTCCTATAGTCGGACTTTCTCCTCTTCTCGGGCCTGGGAAAGGTATGACTCCTCCGAGCCAGGATCGCCAGGCGTAGACCCCATTAAGTCTTCATTAGTACGAGGGGAGAAGTCCTCCTTCGGGTAGCTCTCCGAGTGTGAGAGGCCAAGGGAATTGAAATGGATTCGAAGGGGTTATAAGGACTGGGAGATGATTCATTGGGCTTCAACACTAGTTCTTTATACTGGGGTTCCTTATCTTCTACACACGCAAGGAGGTAGCTCCGTGGAAGTAAACGCTAAGAAGTGCGCCTTGAGAATTACGTACATTAGTCTTTCGAAGCATAAATAGCGAAAATCCCAAAAACAGTGTCTAAGTCAAGAACCTTCCCTTATCTTCCTTAAAGGCTTAATTCTCTACCTTAATGACTTTCCTTTAACGAGCCTTAGTCTATTTTCGACGCGTAGCACTTATACACCTTTCTTTAGTCGAGTTTTGACGCGTTCTAGAGTGTTTACAACCTTTAGAGGGGGTTATAAGCCCATTTCTATCCCTTAAAGGGACTAGCCGGCCGTTTCGCTGCTCTACTATATAGGCAATCCGCGATCCGGGGCCGTCGTATTGTCTTCGAAAGCCCTAGTATGTAGTACATATCTGGAATCCGCGATCGAAGGGTCCGAGCTTCGATCATTCACTATCGGTATCTGGGGAGGTATGAGTCCTTCCACTAGCTCCTAGTTAGGCGTAACGCTAGTAAACTCTCTTCGAAGAGGTATTTTCGCCTAGCCTACGCCGTACACCGTATCTACTTACGGTTCTAAAAGGCTTTCGAACTGTACTTAATCTCTTTCCGCGAGATCTATGATCGTTTCTTAACGGCTGGTCGAAGGCTCTATACTCACCTTCTCTTAAGCATTTAGCCTTCGCGCTACCGTTGGAGGGGTACTAGGACGTCTAGGCGCTACTTACCCAGGCTTTTCGCCCTTCGAAGCATCGATCGTATACTTCTTCGTTTCCTCGCCCTCCCCTACTTTACTTAAACGACCCCCTAGTCGTCCTTTCAATGTAAGCCACTACTTACGGGGAATTGTAGCGAGTTCGTCATATGTCGGAGGTATACGCTCTTCCTCTAAGACCTCCAGGACATCCTTCGATGGCTTTTCAATGCTGACAGCCTTATCTCGAAGCTATCGCTACTATATAGAGGTCATAATGGCTTTGATATCATTACCTGCGTTATCTACGGGGCGGTATCGAATTAGTCTAGCCCTATTAACGGGCTTCGGGAGGATTTACCATCCATCCTTCCCTTCGATCTAGGCTGCGAGTATATACACTCCAAACTATAGCTTCTTTTCGATCTTGAAGGGTCCGAAGTAAGTCGCTTCGAACTTCTAGCGTTGTTCATTAGTCATCAGAACATATTCGCCTTACTTCAAGTCTTCCGCGAGGGGAGTTAATCTATCTCGGCGCAGCTTCTAAGCATAGATCCCTCGTTTAATCAGCCTTCGATTAACCTTATACCTTACTATTTATAGGTTTTCGAGGCGGAGACTAAAGTCTCGGTCCAGATTTTCCTTATCGAAGTCTTCCACGTCGCCCGTAAGGCGGGGTTCGATGCTATAAACGAGTTTAAATGGAGACATTCCTATTTCGTTGTGAGCTCTAACTCGGTAGGCGAATAGGGCTACGGGCAGATGTAAAGCCTACTCAGCAATCGGTCGATTCATCAGCTATTTAGTTAGGATGCTTCTAAGCATTCTATTTAGCCTTTCGACCTTCCCATTAGTTTGCGGATGATATAGGGTAGTCGTTCGATGCTTTACTTTGATCCGATTAAGGTAGTATTCGATCATTCTAGACGTCAAATTAGCTCCATTATTAGAGAGGAGTTCTCGAAAGGCTCTATAGTGATAGTAAATATCGAAGAGAAAATCTACTACTATCTCTAAGGTTACATCTTTAGTTACCTTCGCGAGCGGCTATCTAGTAGCCTAATCAATAGCCGTTAGGATCTATTCAAATCCGTCCGGTGTTCGTAGTAACGGGCTAACGAAGTTAATTACCCATTTTTCGAAGGGTCTCGTAGCGAGGCGGACTTATATATATAGTTCTTATTTTCGAGTCTTCTTTCGCTAAGCTAATTAGTATTCGAGGCATAATTCGGCGTACTTACGAACGTCTCGATGCATTGTCGGCCACCATCCTCGGAATTTGATAACGCCGTCGAGCATAGGGGCACTGAAGTATCCGTAGTGTCTATAGTAGTATTCGACGAAGTCGTTCCGGAATAGGGCTGCGATATACGGGATGAACTTACCGTCAACCTTTCGATATAAGCGGTTTTCGATGGCGGCGAAGTTCTCGATGTCAATTCCTTTAAGATCTTGTCTTTACTTCGACGAGAGGGGTTTCTTAGGTGCTTCGAGATATACTAGTAGGGTAGATTCCCAAGCATACCCTTCGTCGAGGGGGTTTTCTCCCCCTTCGAGCAATTCGTAAGCGTTAAGGCCTACGATTTAGCTTTCTTCGGTTAGCATCTAAGCTTTCGTAGTAGCTCCTTCACCTAGGAAATCTAGCCTTCGCGAGATGGCGTCAGGGACCACTACCTCTAAACCCTTTCGATATTTGATGTCCAGCGAGTATTCGCTAAACTCGTCGAGCCAGCGTACTAGGCGTTTCGACGGTAAGCGGGTTATATTCATGTATTTAAGGCTTTCGTAATCGGTCACGACGGTGGTTTGATGGCCATTCTGGATGTATACGGACTAAGTTCGAAGGGCGTACTTAATTACTAGTAGTTCCTTCTCCTAAATAGGGTAGTTAAGCTCTATACTACGCAGTTTACGACCGTCGAAGGCTATAGGGTGCTAATTACTATCTAGCCTAAGCTATAGGAGTACGGCGCCTAAGGCCTATTTAGAATAATCCGTCTTAATACGGAATGGTTACGTTTCGTCCACCTATTACAGGATAGGTTTGGACGAAAGCGCGTCCTTAAGGCGTCGGAATGTATCTTCGCACCTAGCATTCTAACGGACGGGCCTAAAGCGTTTCTTTCGGAGGGCGACATCAGCTTCAACGAGTAGATTAGAGAGAGGAGTAGCCATTCGAGCGAAGTCTCGAATATATTGACGGTAGTACGAGGCGAGGCCGAGGAACTATCTAACTTCGTGTACGTTCCGGGGTTGCGGCCATTCGGTTATTGCTTGCACCTTTACGGGCGTAGGCTTGCAATGTCCGCTACCGACAATATATCTATAGAATTCCAGTTCTCGGGCTCCGATAGTGCACTTCGAAGGCTTTGCATATAGTTCATTTCCTTCGAGGCACTATAGGACTTATCGCAAGTAGTTTCGATGCTCTTCCTTTAACGCGGAGAAGATAACGATGTCGTCGAGGTATACGACTACAAAGCCTTTATATACGAGTTCCCGTAAGGCGTCGTTTATGATCCTCTAGAACGTCGAAGGGGCATTGGTCAACCTAAAGGGCATCGCGATCCATTCGTACTTACCCGATCTTATATTGAAAGCGGTCTTTGCGATAGACGCTTCTCCCATCTCGATTTGATAGTAGCCCGAGGTTAAATCGATCTTCGAAAGGTACTAAGTATAGCCGATCCGGTCGAGATAGTCTTAGATGCGCGGTAAGGGGTAGGTATCCTTCTTCGTGACGCTATTTAGAAGGCGGTAGTCGATATATATTCGCCATTATCCTCCTAGTTTCGGAACGAATAGGATAAGTAAACTCTAGGGGCTCGATAATGGTCGAATAAGGCCCTTCTGTAGTAGTTCGCGGATTTATTTATCTTGTTCGTCTCGATGGATCTTCGATAGGGCGTAGTAGGGAATATTCGTGGGTTTTATATCGCTAGTGTCGATTTCATGCTAGATCGTACGTTTCTTTAGTTCTTTCGGAATGATCTCTTCTCGAAAGGTGCCTTTTACCTGGTGAATGATGTCTTCGAAGTCTCGATCTAGGCAATTTAGTAACGGAGTAGGCGGAACGGGGATCGTTTCTTTATCGCGAATAATAGCGAGGTAAGGCTTGCGGCCTTCCTAAGGGTCCGTTGTCTTCGCGGGATTCGAGGCATCTCGCTCCGAGGCCTTCGTAGGGGCCTTCTTTTGAAACTTCCTGACAGCTTTAGTAGCTATTCGATAGCTAATAACGTTTAAGTTAGCTAGAGTCTTAGTAGTATCCCTATGATCGATGGTTCGAAAGGGTCGAATAGGGATCTGTACTCTCCTTCCGCTCCCGTTACGAGCTGTGAGCTTCGACAGACCGAAGTCCTATTGGGCTTTATATTTCTTAAGCTAATCTATCCCTAGGATGACGTCGTACGCATTCCAATCTAGAATACGCAATCCTACGCGGACTCGAAGCTCTCCGAGAGTGAGTCTAGTGGTTAATAGTTGATCGGTGTATATAATATCTCCGTTAGTAAGTCTTATATACACGGGAGGTGTTGTTCGAACCTTAACATCCCCTATAAGACGGTCGAATACCGCCTTCGAAATAAAGGAAAGGTTGGATCTAGTGTCGATCAAGACGCTAATAGGGAGGGGAGTACTAAACTAGCCTAGCATTCCGCTTACGATATTACTCCCTTCGGTAGTCGGATTAATCCTATAGGGCGAAGAGGCTACTGCCGTAAGTGCGACTTCAAAGGGTAGCGCTACCTTCTTCCTTGACTTCAGGGATTATTGACCACCGTCCGAGGACTTTCCTATTTCGTCCGATGCGCTATCAGATTCCTCTACATCTAATAGCGCCGGGCTTTTCCCCGATCTCCACGCTTTACGGCCTTTAGCTGGCTGCGACAGTCCCTCTAGACGTATCCGGCCTTGCCGTAATTGAAGTAGGTGATCTTAGATTTACTACCGCTAGCCTTCGAATTCGACGCTGCTTAACGAGTCGAGGAGGATCCTTATCGAGATCCTCGCGAACGCGTGTTACCTTAACCTCGAGGGGTATAAGCTATTCTTGTTCCCTTAAGGGGGTTAGTAAACGCCATCTCGACGTCTCTATTAGCGTCTCGAGCGACGGGTTGCGATGTTAACGCCTTTTCCCGCGGCTCGGTCAAGGCTATATCTTATAGGGCCGACGGGGTGACTTTAACTCGCCGGTGAGTTCTTCCGGAATCCTATCGGTGTCGGTCCTAGTCGAGCTACCTTTCGATCTAGTAGGCGTATTCCACGTATGGCTGGTACGTTGTCGGGATAAGTTATACGGGGAGGAAGGCGATTCGGTCGTGTATTTCGCGCTTTAAGCCTCTTCGAAACTATTTAAGCATTTCCTTATCCGTCGGTTAAGGGTCGAGATATAGTCTCGCGGCGTCCAACGCCTAAGTGAACTTGATGACTATATCCCTTTAAGTTATTACGTCGAACTCGGCCTCCCTTTATTCCTATATTCGAACATCGGCGAAGAACTTCGTGAGTCCCTAGGACTATAGCGTCTAGCTGTTCCGGAGCTATTAATCGATTGGTAGGGTGTTATCGTTCCTGGAGTTCAAAGCCCACTAGCTCGCCGCGTCGTCCTCGAGGTACGAGATGGCGAGGGCTACTTTCTCTACGCTAGTGAGGGGTCGATACTGTAGGAGTTCCTTTCGACGGAGCCATTCTTCCATGAACATGATCTAGACCTACGCGGCGTCTCCCTTACGCTAGCCTTTATACTTCGGAGGGTCTTTAAAGCCTTAGATGGGTATAAATGCCATGTTCGACGGGGAATTGACTAGGCCTACAGCCGGGTCTAGCGCGACGGTCTCTAGCGGAATGGTCATCGGGGTACCTTCTAGGGGCACTAGGTTAGTGGCTACCCCGTACGGAGACGGAGGGGTTCCAGTCGTGCTAGGCGTAGGTTATAGAAAGGTTGCCTAAGTTACGAGGAGCCCTTATATAATCCTTTCGAGCTCCGGGACTATTAATGCGAGATTCAGTAGGGGATTCGGGCTGCCGTCTCCGAGGCTTTATTAAACAATTCCAAGCCTGACCCCTATTGACTGGAGGGCGGTTTAGATGGCGCCGAGGCTGTTATTTACCTCTACGAAGGCTTCGGCTCTCGGAGTGTTGCGACCGTTAGAGCTCGACATTGATTCTTAACGTGGATCGACAAGTTTCGAGGTGTATATAAATTAAGAGGTATAGGGGTTGAGTGTTGTGATGATGTAAGTACGTATACATTTGATGTGAAGGGGTAAGGACGTTGGGCTAGGCATTAACCGATGGCTCTCGGAGAAGGATAAGTACTTTATAGTACATCCTCCTACTAGCGGAGGCTCTCGAACCGGTTTCGAGAGGTATAGGCACTCCTTTCTCTTAGGTAATCCAATCTCCGAGTGGCTATACCATCAGTCTAGGCCATCCATCCCTATATTTTCCTCGTCGACACCTTCGGACGCGCCGTTTCGACGGCGTCAGCCTAGCGGCTACGGGTTCTCTAGCCGCCCCCCCCCTACATAGGGCGACGGTAGGATGACACCCGCTAGTCCGCGAGATATCGTCGTCATCGGGTTCTCAGCTTCATTTCGGCTTCGATAGTGGTCTCTTAGTCTAGTTCGGCCCTATTTCGGCCTAGTTTCGCTGCCTCCCTATCCGTAGGTAGGAGAAGTCGTTCAATCTCCGGTAGATGGGACTAGCGTCGCGTTCGAAGCGCTGCGAAACGTCGTTAGCAGACTAAGAGGAGTCGAATGGGGCTAAGGCGCTGGTTTCTTTAGAAACCGATCCGAATGCTTCCTCGATTACCCCTTTTCTTCAGGTCGATGCGGTTTAATCGGCCTTCGATGCAGGCTCGCTCCGAGGGCTGGTTTTATACCCCGTGGAAGGAGAGCGTCTCTATAGAGGAAGAAGAGGTCTTCGTCGAGGTAGCGGTGGTGTCGAAGGAGCTTGACTGTCCTTCACACTGGATGTATTATTTCCAGGGCTCGAGCTCTCTCGAACTCGGCCCTCTATTAGATCGAAGACTGTCTCTTACCGTTCAAAGAGATAGAGGCCTTTGAGGGCCTCAGCCTAAGCCTTCGCGAGGGCTGTCTAAGGCGTTGCTACTAGATGTGACTCAATGGAGGAATATGGTGAATTCTGCTAGGTCCTAGGGACCGTCTGACTATATACCTTCGAGTAATTTACAGGGCCCTACCGGCGCTAGTCCGAAGGCCTTCGGCCGAAGACTAGCGTGACAGTCATTACATGTCCTTGGCATCCCTGTCAGTCACAGTGCAAGCCAGGCCACTCCAGAATTAAGTATGTACTAATCTAGCAGTCCGAAGGGCAAGAACCACATCTGTCATTAGCCACTGCCATTGACACTATGATCAGTTCGTATCGTTAGGGCAGGGGAACGGTCAGGAACGTGCAGTGCCCCTGGTCGCATAAGAGGGGTAACCTAAAGAATCTGCGATCACGTACCGTGTAACAATGTCATCCGGAAAACGCAGCCCCCGCGAGTTTGCTTACCCCAGTCACATCAACTACCAGTTTCGCACAACCAAACAGAGTCAAGAGATCAAAGGACGTGACAGTGGCTGCGCTTATCGACAGTGCGGCTTGGGATCAGCCGTTAGGACGCTACAATATAAAATACCTCGAATACCCTCGAAAGCTACGTGGATAAATTTCTTCAATTTTTGGGTTGGAGACATATCTACCATTATCCCTTCGGACGCCTTTCGGAATGCCGCGAGACTTGTCCGCTTGCGTGCGCAAGACATGACCCCAGTGGAGGGGGAACCAAATATATTGCGACTGGACTTCAGATCGTACCCAGAACTACTAACTGAAGCCGCAACGAACTTAATACGGCTATACAACAAAACCAAGGTATATCCAGAAAAATATCTCCGGCGCCAACCTTGTTAATTCCGGACAAAGTCCAGCGACGTCCAGAAAGATGCAGAAGATAAAGGACACCGAATCAAATTCGACAATTATCTGGAGTTTCTGTTGATATTCGGCCCTATATTGCCTGTCGAAGGTAAAATGATCGTGGCTATAGTCCTCCCAGATGCCACTGGAACACTTGATAGAAGTCCTGCAATGTTCAAAGGAATACCCCGGGGTGACTGACAGAAGCCCATGAAACCTACGGGCAAAGGGCCTCAGATAGCGAACGAGCAAAAGGAGGAGACTGCTGGAGCCCGCTCTCCAGAGGAAGGCGACATTTTGACGGTGTATTGGGGAGATTCCCTCAATCCAAAGGCTGGCGGTATGACCGCAGTCGTCATGCGGCACGATGTGACAAAGTTGGTCATAGAGGCTGGGGTCCATGCTGGAGCAAGCATGGCGAAATCGTCTTCAGTGCCTGATACGGTATTGTCGAGTCAAAGCCCATAAGATTCAATTGACCACCCTATACAGGTAGCATAAAGTTCGTGTTTGCTGACCCCAATTGATGGGGGTCAAAGCCCATACTGGTCAGATGATCGGGCAACAGAGGAAGCATGAAGTTTATATCGCTTGCTTTCATATTGGAATCGAACGCGGCTGGTGGGTTGCACTTAACGGGTCACTCGGGACAACCGACGTATGACCATGTAGGACGAATGTATGATTGCTCCGTTCACACATGGTCCCTGTCGAAGGGTGTCTCACCGGATTGTTCGACCGTTGGAAGCCAACACGAATTTGAGATTCATCTGCGGTGACGCTCTATTGAGAGCCATTCGATTGTGGCAGAGGAGTAGTAGTGGCTGGCGGTTGGAAAGTTCGGTGTTGAAATTGCAGTATATTGCACGACATTTCAGCCTCCGAGGATCGTTCCATCTATTCTGAGGACAGGTTTGTCGCAAGGACGTCCAGTGGGCCAGCAGCCGGAGGCACTCCCGGAGCCGTTGCTTTGACCTGGTGATTTAAGCGACGCCGCTTGGATGGCCACTGCGTAGTATCCAAAATATACTGAACTTGATCCTGCGCGTTCCGATCTGGAACGATTCCGGGAGCGGCCAGCCTGTATTCATATTAGGCTTGATCCGAGGAGTTTGTCCCAGAAACCCACGAGGCGCCAAAGCTTCCGGTGCCGCTCGAGTGGATTGCGTGAGCTCCGCCAGAGATTGCTTCTGAACAATCAGTGAGCAGATGCCCGTGCAAGTCATATCGTGGAGCGGGGCAGGGCTCTATATTCTCAATGGCAAGTCTCGACGAGCTGTTCTGCAAAATATCAGGAAGGGTGCACATCGACTCGTTATCTCAAACACGGTAGTGATAGACATTTTACCAGAAAGTCGGCATACCTCGTAAAGCAGCTGCCGCTAGTATCTCGCCGAGCCTTCCCATGTGAGGACCGGAGGTTATCGTGGCACCTTGCACGACTCTGTCGTTGATATCGGCCTGAGGGCAAGTGGAATCGCATTCATTGGTATACTCTGAAGTACAGGTCATGTATTTTTGTGACGAAGATGATCTCGGCACAACCTGCACACCATTATTGAATATGGATCCGCTTCCTGTTTGCTTGCCGTTTGTGCATACGGTGTTGATTATTCTTTGCCCAAGTGCAGATATGACTGAGTCGTTATTTCCGGAAGATATACTGCTCCCGTGCGGTGTCCGATCAGATGCTGGATTACTCACCCTCGGAAGGTCAGGACGTGTATCAGGTATGGGTGTCTCAAAAAGAGCCGTGCTATCGGTTTCGTGGTTCTCAGTGTTCGCCCGGCTGCAGCTGTCATCCGGCGGACGGTCGAAGCAATCGGTGCGTCCTCCTGGCGTCGGGTACCCCTCGCCTTTTTGATTTTGGCTCGTGACGAAACTTTCGCGGTTGGCACGAGTTGTCGCTACTTCCTTTCGATATCGGTCTCGGGCAGAATCTTGAACGGACGATCTAGTATCCTCCCAGGGTAAAGTATTCTTGAAGGCTCCGAGGGGTAAAATAGGCTTGGCGTATGGTAATAGGTTAGGTCCAATTTAGAGATAAGGTATATAAGTAGATATTGATTGAAACTCCTCAAAATCACAACAGGTCGCTTAGCTCAGTTGGTTAGAGCGTGGTGCTAATATCAGTTCACACTGTGTCCTGGTAAACGCCAAGGTAAGCATGGCAGGTTCCCAAGGATTGTCCGATTGACTGATAAATATTAGGTCGCGAGTTCGACCCTCGTAGTGACCATCTTGACTTCTTTTTTTCCTATTTATTACAGTACCGCTTACCTAAGCCTGTTTGCGCGGCCTACCAGTGGGTGACAAAATTCCGTCCCAGTTAGCACTAGATTGGCTAAGAACTTGGCAGGCTTTTCCCATGCAAACCTCCACCAAATACCCCTTTTTTTTTATGCTTTACTCCACCAATACTGACTTTTATGTTGTACAACTACGTATAATTGATATCCACGCAAGGCGCTATCGGTTGATCGTAATTATATTGTCTAATTATTGATGGTGGAAGAGTGGGTGTAGAGAAATAGTTCGTACCTCACCAAACTTGGGGCGGGGACAGAATTTTGTCACCCACTGGTGGCCGAGATTAAACCGCGCGCCGTGTCTTGGCCTACAATAATATCAGGTCCTTTGCTGTTGCTTTGGAAGCAGGTAGGTTAGTTGCCCTACTCATTCTCTATTCTCTCATAGAATTTCAACGAGTTGCAAGATATACCCATAGCTCAGAATTGCTTAGATCAAGATTTGGGGAAACGTGCGAGTGCTCAGGTTTTACAATGGAAATGGGCTATGATGAGGTCAAGATTCGGCGCTGAATGAGGAAATCCAAAGTGCAGTCAAAGGCACCCGTCATTTTCGAAGAGCTGGACAAACCCCGTATTATCTCTAAAGGGGGACTGTTTCTGGTCTCCCCAGTGACGGTTGTATTTGCGTGGTGTAATACGGGAAAATCAATCTGGGAGACGACGGGGGAAGTTAGGGGACCAACTTTGTCATCATGGGAAGAAACCCTCCAAAAGCGGCCTGGCTCCCTTTCCTGAACGAAAATGGCAAATGGACGAAGCACGGTTCGGGACATATATAATATATATATATACCTCGTATATGTAACCGAGTACCTCCTATGTATGTACTCGGTACCTCGGCCACTGCCGGTGTAATATCTATTTAATCAATTCCGAGAATAATTCCGAATGCGTCTCTCGATATGTCATAATTACTCGGTATTAAAAGGTGGACCCCAGTTGAAGAACTAAACCGGTTACTCGGCATTCGATGCCCAATCGCGAGGTCCACAAGTGACCTGGCCAAAGGGACAATGGACAGCCAATGCATTTGGAGAGAGCCTGGGGTCTGCAGACAGAGTTTCGACCGAAGAGGCGGAATAGCTCGCCAGTCATAAACGAGGACGAGGTGGCCATGCTTGCCATACTCAGTACAGGTGTAGGCGTTGATCAACAGGGGCATCTGTCAGAGGGTCCCTGATGATGTCCATCACACTTTGTGCAGTTCAACACCACGTCACGCGACGCTCCTCCAAGTCGAGGTATAGCACCTGGTTCTCTCCCTCCCTCCCCCTCTCTCTATCTCTCTCTACTTCGTCCTCACTGTGTTGGTCTCCTCCTGTCCTGTCATTTCCACTTCGACGGCGATTCTCCCTTTGGCCATGGCGACCTCGTCAATAGCGGCCGCCGCCACGTTTCCTTCCGGACGAGGCCCCTCGAAGATCTCGGCGATCTCTTCCAGTGTCCGCTTGTTCGTTTCGGGGAAGAAGAAGTACTCGATGACTAGCAGGACGACCAAGAGAACGCAGAAGACGATGTAGTATTTCCAGCCAATGTTGGTGAGTCCGCGCGGGTTGACAAACTGCGCCACGATCAAGGCGACCTGGTTTGTTGCCATGGAAGCCCCGAGGCCGCGAGCCCGCAGTGTGTACGGAAAGATCTCGATCGGGTATGAGATCAGGAGCGGAATGAAGAAGTCATAGCAGAAGTAGTACAGGAAGATGAAGGCGACCACCGCCCGGCCGACCGAGACGCTTTCGGTTTGCTGGAACCGGGCAGAGAGAGCTGTCCAGATGACATAGCACACCAGCATGCCCACCGTAGCGCCCAGCCATAACTTGCGCCGCCCGACGCGATCGACGAGTGTCGAGGCGGTAATGCCGGCAAAGAAGTTGAAAAGCTGCAGTAGGGCGTTGATCAGGGTTTGAGAGCTCGCCGACGTGATGCCGATAGTGTCGAGGACAAGAGTCAGGTAATAGGCAATGACGGCGACGCCGCTCCAGGTGGCATACCAACCAACCATTACCGCGATAAAAGTTCGTTTGCGGTTCGCGGGGGTTCGAATGAGGTCGACATACGAGGTCTCGAAATTAATCAGTCTCTCAGCGCGGATGCTTTCCTCGATCTCCTTAAGTTCAAAGGTGACTAGAGCCGATGACTCGTCGCCTCCGGCGTGGTGTTTGACCAGAGTTCTCCGTGCCTCTGCTGTTCGGCCCTTGGCCGCTAGCCATCTACACACCACCAGTTAGCTGTATATCAGAATCTGCGGACAGATATTGGCTTGTATACCTGGGAGACTCGGGGACGAAGAGAACAAGACAGAGCTGCAGCAAGGGAACGGCCCCTTGAAGGATGGATGGAATCCTCCACGACCAGTTGGAAATGATGCGAAACGTTCCGTAAGTGGACCAAGCTGCGATGACTGCTCCGAGGTGCTAGTGTGGTACCGTGAGCCAGGGGTCCTTGGCCCAGGATCGGACGGGCACAGCTGGTGTCGAAGGAAAAAGTGCTCCCACTTACATATGTATTGTAATAGAGCGCTGTGAACTTGCCGCGATGGGTGGGATAGGACAGTTCCGAGACCAGGATCGGTGCTGCCTGAGCAACAAAGGCTGTTCCAAACCCGAGAACAAGACGGCCAACGATGAACATGGCCACATGCTGCGCCGCGCCCTGGATAGCCGCCCCGATCACCAACAAGATGAGGCCGGCAATGATCGGGGGTTTCCACCCATAACGGTCGTTGGACCAGGCCGTGAGGAACAACCCGAAGAACTTGCCGATAGGGTAGATGGCGTTCATGACACCCAGGATCGAAGCATCAGGATGGTCAAAATACTCACGCCATTGAGTCAGTGACTGAAGGCCGTTCATCATTGAGCCTGCGAAATAGCGCATCAGCATCTATTCCTGCCGAAAGGAGAATGTGAACGCGGGTGCAGAGATTACCATCAAACCCGTAGGCTGCTGCAGACAGCCACGGTATGATCAGGATAGCATTCAGCCGTAGAAGATGCCGTTTGCGGTACCATGGTATGCCATCTTGCGGGAGCAGCTGGACCCCGTCGTGTTAGCAGATTGTCCATCGTCAGCGTGCGCCAAAACTTACAGCAGCCAACTCTGGTCCGACTGCATACTGGGCATTTTTGCTGGAGAAAATGCCCATTGTTCCTAATGTTCGTTTATGAAATATGGGTACTTCCAAGGTGGGAAAGACAATGGTGAGCCCGCACGTGGTTCGTTGCAAGATGGGAGATCGGCTGAGTATTCCTGAGTCTTCCTAGAGAGAATTAGTCAACGATCGAGGGTGTCCAGTCTTTCAGAGCCATTTCCGAAAAGCCGGCGGCTGTCACCCTTTCGCACCGGAATTTGGTACTATGTAAAGTAAGTCATAGCCTGTGCAGTATAGGGAACAAGGCAATAGTTTCGGAAGCGGATGAATGGACCGGACACATTGGCTCCGAACCCAGCATCGCCGTCCTACAAACGCTGGAGTGTGCTGGGTGTCGATTTACATCCACTAAGTGGGTTGTCCCGCGGTTCTTACCGTCTCATCCTCTTCGTGGGCGTGGTCGTTGGTACTTTCTTGTCTTGACGGAGGTCACTGCTGCTGCAGGATGTGTAGAACAATGCGACCTACATGGTAGGACGCTTACATCTCCTGAAGCGCCGGTGAAGAAAGAGGTGTTCCCAGTTTGAGGTAGAATGGGTGGACACGATGCCTTACCACGCCCAAGCCCATGCCCGCCTGCTGGACACTTTCAGCGCAGTGGTGCGAAACCGTACCTTTATGTCGAGAGGTAACCTCGAGTGATCTTGACAGTCCACATATATAGGTATTCCCGACTTCTTGGGCATTGGGCTGGGCCGTATACACCGCTAGCAATAGTGGGTGGTGTCCATCCCTTCAGCCAGATTCAACTGGTGAGGACCGGATTATCTGTGTCAGGTCTGCCCGGTCCCTTGATCACGGGATATCGAGTCTCTGCGCAGCTCTTGTCCTCGAGTACTCCGTCTATTCCTTGAAAGTATAGCATTTCACCTAAGTCGTAGCCCTCAAGCCGCATATACATGACACCTAATTGACAGTTGCAGTCACGGGACGTTGATGATCAGATCGAGCAAGACGGTCCATTGGAGGCACAGGAAGAGCGTTGGGGAGGTGAAAAGGCAAGCGACTTGGACACTGGATAGAGGACTGGATGAATAGAGGGAGAGAGTGCATGGGCGAGCAGGCGATCGAGTGCGTTTGTCTCTTGTTGGTGTCTGAAATGTCCTTGGGCTATTGAGTGCGAGGATGGATAGGTACCGAGGTACAAGTGTTTCTCTTGGCACCCAGCTTAGCCGTATCAAGATTAGACTCATGTTTAGTGAATACATATTTGCCTCCAACTTGCAGCTAAGCTCGCTCAAGCTTCCTTTTCAGATTTCTTTCTCTAAAGCTTCCTTGTGTGTGCATCACATTCTTCGATGTACTCCGTAGATATCCATATATCAGTGACAGTCAATTGCGCGTAAATCGGACCTTGCCGACCGGCAATTCCTACCCACAAGACCGCTGTTGATAGCACTACCTCATACAGGAAGTCTACAGAACCGCTATCGTTCGACGGCAAACAGGCAACCACCGCTCAGATTGGCTACGCATCCGCACATTGATATCGACCTCAGCCTGCGTGGGACAATCCCGGAGCACCTGCGTATCAACGTGCTTGAGAATCCTGGACCCTCTACCCCCTGATATCCGAAAGATATCGAGCCACAAGGGGAAATTGTGGTGTGGAACATGCCTCTTTCTCGTGTCAACCCCTAAAACCGGTAAGTGTGGGCGGTAGATAAGCAGCGATAAAGGGCTTGGATATCACATTATGACCTTTCCGGTTGCAGTATAATATCCCAGACTTGGCACGAGGCCAAGACAAGTTGGAATGCAACCATATGGATGATCAGCAAAGCCCGTCGACGGCGTCAGTGATGGTGAATCCAAAATACCTCTTGACTGAATTCCACTAGCCTGGGACCGCGACAGGGGTATGTCGTCTCCTGTTCCTTCCCAATTCGCGATGAGGAGCTCATATCGCCCGTGAAGAGCCTAGCATTTGGCAGCTCATCGCTCGTTTCCATCGCTTCGAGGTGGCTAAGAGACTAGAATCCCACGAGGTGAAGATCCTGGTCATATCGTGGAGATGCCCGCAATTGCCACTGCTCGAGTTCGCATCTGCGATTCGGTGGTCGAGATGGACGGCTATATCATCTCTGGCTCTTATCTACGCTCGTCAATATAAGGAACGGCGCACCCCGCAGTGCGAGATTGACCCTCCTCAGCACCTACACGACTGCACAACGATGGACCACAAAGCGGACAATAAGGAAGTCCGAGAGGGAGAGGCGGTCGTCGTCTCCGAAGCGCCGCAAGAAGGCGATCTGTACGAAAGGCGGCTGTCTGCAACAGAATGGGCCAAATACCGTCAAACCAAGAGAGGCCTTACACCCCGGTGAGTGTTTCGCCTGGAGTTTTCCGATACTACAAGGGCAATTCAGTGCCTCTACCCTGCCCTTGGCCGCCAGAGATTGAGAGCCCTGAGCTGATGGTACGATAGTCATGTTCAGTTGATGGGGCTCGGTGGGAGTATAGGGACGGCTCTGTTCGTGGGCATCGGCAGCAGTCTGAAGAATGCCGGTCCGCTGTCGCTGGTTCTGGGCTACCTATTCTGGGGTCTACTTTTCGTCTGGCCAGCCTATCTACTCGTGGGCGAAATGCTTGCATGGCTGCCTCTCCGAGGCACCATTTTCGAGCTGGGTGGTCGATACGTGGACCCTGCCCTGGGATTTGCCATGGGATGGACCTACTTCTTTGCTGGCGCAATGCTCGTTTGCACCGAATACGCCTCCGTCGCGACCGTCATGACCTACTGGAACACCAGCGTGAATGCTGCGGTGTGGGTAACCATGGCACTGGTGGTCTGTGTCTTTTTCAACCTCGTGGCCGTCAGGTAAGTTTTCTGGCGGAAAATGCTCACTTTGGCCGTCCACGGGCTCTAATTGCTGCATTCTCACACAGATGGTACGGCGAATCGGAATTCATCATGGCCTCCACCAAGATCCTCCTACTGATGGGTTTGATCCTCCTCACCTTCATCACCATGGTTGGGGGCAATCCGAAACATGACGCCTATGGTTTCCGCTACTGGAAGCACGGCCTGGCCATGCATCCATATTACACCACTGGCACCACCGGACGCTTCCTCGGCTTCTGGAGCGTCGTACGATATGCGGCTTTCACAGTGGCTGGACCGGACTTGATCGCTCTGGCGGCCGGCGAGATCCAGAACCCGCGAAGGACCATTCCCCGTGTCGCTCGTCTCGTCTTCTACCGGCTGGTGGGCTTTTACGTTGTGGGCGTCCTCTGCGTCGGGATCATCTGCTCGTCTCGAGATCCTCGGCTGATCAGCGCCATCAGCGACGGGAAAGCCGGTTCGGCGGCTTCACCATGGGTGTTGGGGATTCAGAATCTGGGCATCACGGGCCTTCCCAGTTTCATCAACGCCCTGATCCTCCTGTCCGGCCTCTCGTGCGGCAACGCGTACCTCTACTCGACCAGCCGGACGCTCTACTCGCTCGCCCGAGACGGACACGCGCCCAAGTTCTTGATGAAGTGCACCAAATCGGGGATCCCGACGTACTGTGTCCTCGTGGTGACGGTCATCTCGCTGATCACGTACCTGGTGGCCTCCAACTCGGCGGTGACGGTGTTCTTCTGGTTCATCTCCATCTGCACCATCACCTTTGTGCTGACCTACACATGCATGATCTGGACCTACCTGGGCTGGTACCGCGCGCTCAAGGCCCAAGGAATCGACCGCAACACACTCCCCTACAAGGCGCCCTTTGCGCCCTACACGGCGTACATGGCCATCGTGGTCGGCTGCCTCATCATGCTGTTCATCGGCTTCGACTGCTTCGTGCCGTGGAGCACGCAGGGCTTTGTCACGAGCTACTTTGGACTCGCCTTTGGGGTCTTTACCTTTTTGCTCTGGAAGATTGTCAAGCGCACCAAGTGGGTGGACCCCAAGACGTGCGACATTTGGAGCGGCAAGGCCGAGATCGACGAGGAGTGCAGGATCTGGGAGGAAGGCGGGTTCAACGAGGTCGAGAAGGCGAGGTTGGCCCAGATGAACTTTGTGAGGAGGACGTGGGAGAAGATGTGGTGACAGGTAGGCGGTCAGGCCGATTTGGTTCTGTCTTTACACGGCGGGAGATCAATAGCCATATACCGACACGACCGAGTACATCGTTTGCATACCTACCGCGTATCTGACAAGTCCCTCGAACGTATGTGTGTACATGTGCACCAGTGGGTGGATGGGCATCGGAACAATAAGTGCACAAACATGTCCTGTATACCACGTACCACCACGTACCAACGTGCCAAAGGACCACCACAGGTCCATGCCTAGGTACCTACCTACCTGCATACCTAGCTAGCGGGAGGTACTGTCTACACTCGGCTCATCGGTACTTGTACTCGTACCAGTACTCGCACTTTGTACTGTGAAATGAGACAGAGGCAGCCAATCAACACGCCGCGGATGACTCTACCGCACTCGACTCAAGCAGCAGCCACAGCCGCAGCCGCGGTATTACCGGAATCAGGGCTGGAAGAGGAAAGTGCGGCGAGGGAAATAGACCAAGCACAGAAACACGCACATACACAGAGAGAGATATATACATGCGCGCACACACACAGAGACATGCATACGCAAATCGCAAGGCCTTGGGAACCCGGAGCTTGAGGCGATGCCGCCGAGGCGCTCGGCACAGCACGGCATGGGAAGGGAAGGGACCAAGGACTTTTATCTCCATCTCTACCGTTACCATCTGCACTACCGCCACTACCACAAAAACAGGAACCGACACAAGAGACGTCCACCCCTCTATCCTCTACCCTCCGGACCCCTTCCAGCCGAGTTCTATGGATCAATATGGATCGAGTGACCCTCTTTCTTCCGCTTCCACTTCCACATCTCCTCAAGAAACCCCGGTCTGGAACGAGAGCCACAAAAATACGAGGATACGAGTGGGACGGAAAGAGACATGGCCATATTCGTCTGTTTGTACATGTAGGATGCAGTATACAGCCTGCTCGCCCGTTGTTGTGATAACCCACCGTCAGGCTGGCTTTCTCGCATTTCTGATTTGTGTCATGTCACTCTCAAGTTCTCATCCTCCCCACCGCGAGATGGACCGCAAGGGGGGCCGAGACTAGCAATCTTCTTGCTCAAGATCCTGCTTATTTCTCCAACACTTGTCATCGGGTCGAGTGATGTATCCTCGCTATGCCATGTTTCTAGGCCGATGCTGGAGTTTCTACTTTTGCTCTCCCTGTGGAGGATATTTTTCTAACCAGCCTCGCTCGATTGCTTTGCTCGGGATCCTAAACAAGGAACGGGCTGATTGTCTTTCCGGACTCAACCGGAGCCCATGTATCCCGGATCGAGAGTGGGCTGCCGCTTCTGGGAAGATCGTAGTGGCGCGAGTGCCCTACATATCATGCTCTCTTCTTCATTTAACCCGGCTCAGTGGCATGCGTGTCCCAATCACTAGCCCAGATGAAGGTATTGCATCTCCACTGCGTCCCTTTCTCCTGCTTTCCGCTGGGACCCAGTGGGCGCGCACACATCCAGAAAGATCTTCCGCAATTAGCGCCGGGCTTCTTGGTCAACATGGTTTTGCATGGCTCGCCGTGCTCGCATTTCGGTGCCACAGGCTTTGAAAATAATTTGCCCCAGGTCTGCTTGGCTGCGAAACTGGCCGCTTCTTCTTCGAGCGGCACGGCCGGTTTAATTGTCTCCGGCTCTTGGGGCTCTTTTCCAACTTTTGCTTCAGTGACGGGGCCATCTACTTCACGAGCCTGAGCAATGGGTGGTTTGGCGGAAAAGAACCCTCTGAGACTCTGCTGGCCCTTGCCGTTGGATGTCGTTTGAGATGCCGTCTTGCCGCGTTTCACCGGCGTCGGTGGTTCGATTGTCCTTGCTGGCCTCTTCGCGCTGATAGATTTGGTGCTCATAGAAACATTCGATGTTGTCTTTGACAGATCAGAAGAACTTGCCGCTTCAGAAAAGGTCGGAGTGTCGCCACCCGCCATAGTTGCTGCCTCGGGTACATCAACAGCTGCACCATTGGTGTCCAAATCGCCAATGTTGCTCTTTGACTTGAGGAGCGACGGCTTCCGGGTGAACATGTCCCGAATGCTTTGCCGCTTGTCGAACTCTTGTATCAGCTTGCCGGACATGGGAAGCAAGCATTTCGTGGTCCATTCTTGTTTGCGCTCACCATCCACGAACATGCCCGGCGGGTTGACCATGTCAAGTATATGCCGCTCGACTCCATCAACTACCACAGTGTCCTTCAATACCGCGTAGACTGGGCAGTGATCAGACCCCATTAGCCCTTCCTGTATGTTTGCATCACTGAACCAATCTTTTATGTCATGGCTGCACACCACATAATCGATCCTTGAACCGTAGTTACCCGGTCGAGCATTGACTTTGGTCTCCCAACAAGTGTACATGCCTTTGCGACCTTCATGGAAACCCCGGCAAAGATCCCACATGATCGGCGTTTCTCTCCCCTCCTCCCTTTCCCCATGGACTTTGCCGCCCACAAGCAACTGGTTGAACATCCTCCGTGCTGGTGTGGAGATCCATTGGACTGGGTCAATCCCGTTCTTGCGCATGCTCTCTTGTGCCGCTGCAGTGTCAATCTCTTCCCTGGATATGTTGAAATCGCCTGCCCAGACCACTCTTTTGCCCATTTTCACCAGGTTGCGTATTCTTGCGTCGAGCACCCGAAGATAGCTCGTGCGATAGTGGGTTCGTGTCTCGTCTCGCTCGGCCGGACAGTAGGTACCAATGAGGACAAAGGCGGGAAATTCGAGTATAACACATCTTCCCTCGGAGTCTAGAGTGGCCGGGTCGTAGTCTGCCTCGGACAACTGTTCAGCGTTTGGGTATCCTCCAATCTGCTCCTCGTCGGGTAAGTCTCGAAAGCTGGTAGAGGTGTTCGGAGGGGTCAGGATACCGGTGATGCCTTCTTCGGCTCTCACAGGGGCGCATGTCGCATTACGCGTGTAAATGACCACGCCAGAGTATCCTGAAAACATTAGCGTGGCCCAAGCAATTCCATGGGTTGCTGAAACCTTTCTTATGCTTAGGGAGACTCCAGTAGTTATCCCAGCCAGGCACCAACACCATGTCGTCGCGGAGATCCTTTCTCTGAATTTTGGTTTCTTGGAAGATGACCACGTCCGCCTCCAGAATGTCAAACATGCCCTCAAACGTCCTCTTATCTCTCCATGGTTGATATCCAAATGGGTTGCGAATACCATTGACATTCCACGTCGTGATGCGAATCCCCATATCTGCAGGTTATTGAAGGCGGCGACGCCTCATCGTTGGGGGCGGTGAAGGGTGGGCGAGGGAGAGGTCAGAACTCGAGTGAAAATGAGAGGTGCGGAGTTCGATATTCTCTAAAATGGCAGAGGCTTCGATGAGCGGGTGTCGCGCAGTGAGAGAATCGGAGGAGTGGTCGGACAGGTGATTTCGACCGCTTCATCTGGGGAAAAGCACCCGTGGTGCTGGTGATGATAGCGGCAACCTCGGTGACAGCGGAGGCGGACGAGTAGTTGCAGTGGTGAAGAAGGTGTGAGTTACGAGGTACACGGCGCATAGGTATCACGCTGGCGGGATCGGCATCATCAATGCTTGTCATCGTTGTCGCGTTTCTCCCGACTGCGGTGCGGTGGTGGCGCTTGCTGCGCGGCGGCGCTTGTTGCACCCTCTGACGTAATGAATCACCAGGCGCAAGCAATTGAATCGAATTCATCATTCAAGTTTCCCGCATCTCAACTTCTTTCTGAAGCTGAAGAAAAGCCACAAGAGGAGAATTCCAGTCCCTCCTTTGCATCATTTTGCTTTTGTCCTACAGTCTGGCGTCGTACTTGTTGTTTGGGTGCTAAGATTGGACTTTTCAGTTCACCGTCAGATACAACCTGATTTGCCCCGCCACAGTCTGGTGGCTGTGCCACATTTTCGACTTCGTGATTGTCCACGGCACTGGAGAAGCCTTGAGTTCTGTTGTCCTGTTTCTTCTTGGCCCTTTTTGCATCATCTCCGGCACAGGTTTTCATCGTCACCATATGTCCATTTCGTACAGATAAGGCTCTTTGTTAATCCCGGCCTGGGTGACGGCCAAGTCGCGCAAAGATGTTGGAAAGTCTCGTTGCCAATCTGCTCAATCGGTTCTTGGGCATGTACGTCAAGAACTTCGATCCCAAGCAACTCAATGTGGGCATCTGGTCGGGCGACGTCAAGCTGCGCAACCTTGCACTGCGAAGGGAGGCTCTTGACCAACTGCATCTGCCAATCAATGTGGTAGAAGGCCACTTGGGTGAATTAACCCTGTCAATACCGTGGTCCAATCTAAGAGGAAAGCCCGTCAAAGTCAACATTGAAGACGTCTTTCTGCTCGCGGCGCCCAAGGAGGAAGATGACTACGACCCCGAAGAGGAGGATAGGCGGGCGGTAGCTGTAAAGCTGGAAAAATTGGAGAGTGCCGAGCTTCTCAAGGAGCGCAACACCGAGGCCATGAGCCCGGAGGAACAACAAAAGAGCCAGAGCTTCACGCAGAGCTTTGTCACGGCCATCGTCGATAACCTCCAAGTCAGTATCAAAAATGTCCACATCCGATACGAAGACTCCATCGCAACGCCTGGCCACCCGTTCGCCGTGGGCTTCACACTAAAGGAAATGAGCGCCGTCTCAACTGATGCTGACTGGCAGCCTACATTCATCCAATCAACCTCTGGGACCACTCATAAATTGGCCGTTTTGAACTCGCTGGCTCTCTATTGGAATAGTGACGCGGATCTGTTTGGAACTGGCAAGGGTGGTGATGTTGGCGCCGAAGCTCAAGACATTGACAAGGATGAGCTGATACGCCGGTTCAGGGAGGAAATAGAAGATACGGGCCACTCACAATATTTGCTCAAACCTGTCAGCGGTCGGGCAGGGATTGAGATGGACAAGTCGGGCAGGACAGACAGACCAAAGACTAAAGCGCGTCTGCTTTTCCAGGAGCTCGGATTCATCATTGACGATGAACAATATCGCGACGCGCTGATGCTTGTGGACCTGATGCACTACTTTGTTCGCCATCACGAGTACAAGAAAGACGCGCCAAAGGAGAGCCCAAAGGAGAATCCTCGAGCCTGGCTCAAATTCGCCGGAAATGCGGTTCTGACGAAGATTCACGAGCGGAACAGGAAGTGGACCTGGGAGTATTTTAAGGAACGCAGAGACACCCGACTGAAATACATTGACCTTTTCAAGAAAAAAAAGAAGGAAATAAAGCTCACCGAGCAAGAAACAAACGAATTGACCCAACTGGAGCACGATCTGAGCTACGAGGATCTACGATTCTGGCGGTCGCTTGCTCGTACCCAGCTACGAAAGGAGAATGTCGGCGTCAAGAAGCCCGCCCAAAAGCAAACTTGGTCGTCTTGGATCTGGGGCGCAAAGGCTGAGCAGACCCCAGATGGTGATGAAGACACTGGCATGACGGATGAACAGCGCAAAGAGCTCTACAACGCCATTGACTGGGACGAGAAGAAAGCGATCGCCGAGAGCGTCGACCTCCCCCGAGAAAGCGTCAAGCTCCAAGTCGAATCAAGTCTCAGAACTGGCAGCTTCACTTTGAAACGAGACCCTCATGGGCAAGAGACCGAGGTCCTGAAATTGGTGTTTGACAATTTTAAGGCGAAGGCCCTTCAACGACCTGACTCTTTCCTAGCTGAGTTGGCACTAGGAGGCTTTCGCGTGTACGACGGCACGACGGAAGGAACATTGTTCCCACAGATTGTCAAGGTCAAAGGGGTCGATATTCAGCCCAAAGACGAGGTCAATCAAGATGACGCTGAAAGTTTGGACGACGAAGCGGAGGCCAAGGATGCAGCCACAGAGAAAGAGGACCAGGAAGAAGACAGCTTGTTCCACCTGGTGTTCGAAAACAACCCCCTTGATGAAAGCGCTGACACAAAAGTCGATCTGAAACTCAAGAGTCTCGAGTTCATCCACAATCCCAAGTTCGTGGTGGAGATCGTCAAGTTTTTTAAGCCTCCAGAACGCCAGATGGAATCCATCGGCGCTCTACTCGAGACTGCAGGTGCAACAGTGGAAGAAATTCGCCAACAGACGCGGGCAGGCCTTGAATTTGCCTTGGAAGAGCACAAGACAATCAATGCAAATCTGGACATCCACGCCCCTATACTCATCATTCCCGAGAGCATCACGGAAAAGAGCACACTCTGCATGATCCTCGATGCCGGCCATGTCAGCCTCAACAGCGAACTCGTTGACAAGGAGTCAATGCGGGACATCCACGCTAAGCAAAAGCAGAAGTATACCGAAGAGGACTACAGACAGCTTGAAGGCCTGATGTACGACAAATTCCACTTGAAGCTCGAATCAACACAGGTTTTGATCGGCCCTGGCATCGAGGAGACGAGAGCGCAGCTGGAAGCAGAAGACGACTCGCAAAACATGCACATCATTGATCGCATAAACATGGCCTTTCTCCTAGAGAACTCAATCATACCAAAAGCCCCAGATATAACAAAGGTCCGCATTTCTGGCACGATGCCCGTTCTCCATGCCTCTATATCAGACAAGAAATACAAAAACCTCATGAGGTTGATTGAGGTTGCGGTTCCAAAATTCGATACTCCGAGCACGGGGGCAAATGGCAACGCCGTCGAGTTACAACCGCAGAAAAGTATCGAAGATAAAGCATCGAAGAGGAAATCCGTGCAATTGCTCGAAGCAAAGGATATACCGATCATTGAACACGATTCTGATTCAGAAGATGCTCCCGCGGATAAGCCACCTCCCAGCAAACCCGAAACACCTGCCAACATACATCAGCGCAATTTTGAAATCAACTTCACAGTCGAAAGATTGCAGGCTTCATTGTACAAAGCAGATCCAGATGGCAAGAAACCAGACCAGTTGTTGGTAGAACTCGTGGCGGAGCACTTCTATTTTGACTTCTATCTTCGCCCGTACGATATGGTGGCTGAGGTGCTGCTGCGTTCGTTGAGCGTTGATGACCACATCGAAGAGGAGCCACTACCCGAATTCAAGCAGATAATATCTTCCAAGGGTTTCAATGCAGAGGAGGGAAAGGACTTGCTTGACCTCAAGTTTGTCAAGGTCAATCCAGATTCACCCGAATTCCAATCTACCTACGAAGGTATCGCTACCAACCTCGACGTGGCTGTATCTACCATCAATGTCATTGTCACAAGACGGACACTCCTGACTCTGCTGGATTTTGTCCTTACCACGTTCGCGAGTCCCAGGGACCAACAACCGATACAAGAAGATGCAGACCAACCGGAAGAGAGAGTCGATGATTCTCAACAAGCAAAGCCTCAAGCAGACAAGATCAGAATCAAGGCCCAGTTAACCAGCATTGCGCTCATTCTGAACAACGATGGCGTCCGACTTGCCACATTGTCCCTGAACTCTGGTGATGTTGGAATCTTCCTCGACGAAGGCACAATGCAGGTCAAGGCAAGACTCGGGAGCCTATCGTTAGTGGATGATATCAACCAGGGTGCACCCGAAGATTCACCGTTGCGCCGACTGATCGCCATTGAAGGAGACGATCTAGCGGATTTCAAATACCAGACCTTCAGTTCTGCCCGCAAGGACTACCCAGGGTATGATTCAGGAATTTATCTTCGGTCAGGTTCGATCAAAGTGAACTTTCTCGAGGAGCCTTTCCGGAAGATCATGGAGTTCGGGGTCAAGTTTGGGAAGATGCAAGCCATCTTCAACGCAGCCAGACAGGCGGCAGCAAACCAAGCCACGCAGGTACAGGAAAGCGCACAGAAGATGCACTTCGACGTCATTATCAAAACACCAATCGTCGTTTTCCCCCGAGCCATGGTGGACGACCGACCTCGTGATCTTCTTACAGCCTATCTCGGCGAAATATATGCAAACAATCGATTTGTCGGTGTCCACGGCCAAAGGGGTGGCCCTCTCGTCAACAAGCTTGCGGCCGGCATCAGACACATCCGCCTGACCAGCGAATTCCACTACAGCGATGGCAGGTCCCAGGAGCTGGAAATGATCGACAAGGTCGATCTGGACTTCAAAATCCGATACCTTGAACACCAGGCAGGCATCGAGAGACCGGATCTCGAAATTGATGGGTCCATGTCACCGATAAACCTGAGAGTTTCTCACACCCAATTCAAGTTCTTGCTGGAACTATCAAAAACGATTCCGGCAGCGTTTGCAACCGACGATGACAGCGAAGAGGATATTGCCGAGGAATTGCCCTCTGCCACGAC